GCTTTAGCAGAAGCTTCTTCGTTTGTTTGAGAGGAGCTAGAGCTCATTTTCTTTCTCTTTTTCYCTTTTTTATCTCTATCTGCCATGTATATCGAGGAGAGAGCGGTCTGTACTAATAATGCACAGAATAAGGCGTTTCAAAACGGAGCTCTRAATTGCACGTCCGTCCTACATGCCGCCGAGCTTACCCAGCCTGCCGAGCTTACAATCTTATAATATAGTTTTGAGTTCATTGCCCGCTTTCGTTTGTGCTTACATTAAAAACATAGACTTTTTCGCGATTAAAACCATAGCGGGCAACATGAACAGAAGTGCCAAAAAATATCACAATTATGATTTTTCACAGTCAAAAATAATATTTTCTTACATTGCAAAAGRATAAACACGCTCAAAAATGAAAACTTTTCATACGACCGACGCGCCAATCGCGCTGCAAAAATCGCAAGTATAAATGGGCCTTAAGAACTTGTAGATAGCCTAGTACTCGGAGTTTGAAAAGTGTGACTGAGAAAGTTGGGCACATGTGGAGTGAATGGTCGTGTTTTCAAAAGTATTTCTGATCATTGTACGCACACCTTGTGTCAACAAAGCGATACAATTATGACAGAGTCACTAGCTAATTATCAATTGTAGCTCTTTTCAACGTCTAAAAACTTTCTACTCATCAAGATTCGTCCAAGCTTGTTGGTGTTTTTATGTATAGTTTAAAACACGAGAGAGATTTTATCAGGTAAAACACCTGATAAAACACGATCTCGAGTGTTTTAAACGCCTTCAAAAACTCCAGCACTAGTTTGAACCTCAAATCCGTTAAAATTCTTGGAGAAATTGCCGTAAAAACAAATTTCGAGATAAATGGGGCAAACTGATCATGCGCGAATCACTGTACAAAGCACTATTTTCATCCCACATTGAATACGCATAAATTAAAATGGAACCGCTGTTGGCTGTTTAGTGAAATCGGTTGACATCCTGCATTGGTCAATTATCAGGTATACAACCTTTGCTAGGGTCATGGACCTTTATATCTGATAAAGGTCACCCTTATTAGTATTCTTT